TCACCGAACATCTCCTTGCTACCGCGACCTCTCCCACAGGAAGCCGCGACCACGTGGCAGCAGGGAAAATGGCCGTGGATCCGGTTCGTAACTAGAGGCAAGTTCGTAACCCGAGGTAAATTTTTCCTGCCGAAGCTGGTCGTAACCTGAAATGTTTGTTAGTAGAGGCGTTCGTATCCCAAGGTACCACTGTACTTACTCATGGCACAAACACACCCTGGGAAACTTTTTTCTCTGTCATATTCCCATGATACTGCTTTCATCTAGTCTCCAGCCTGTGAGTGAGGTAGCCTTAAATCTTCCTTAGCTGTGCCAGTGTCAAAGAAGTTCTTCCCCTTTATTCAGACTCCAGCTGAGCTATATAAGCCTCGAGATGTTTCAGTGCCACTCATGATCTTGGAGGGAAGTCAGGGGACAGGCAGTGACTGGGAACAGAGGCACTGTGGCAGGATCAGCAATGGAGATACAGTAGCAAATTTCAGGCCAGTATAGTTTTTAGCTGACTCAAGAATGGGTGGAAAGTATTTCAGCAAGAGTGGGAAGGTCTTATAGTCTTTCATTATGATGAAATTCCAGTATATGTAGGTTGAAACAGCTGTGCAATGTTTGTTTTCATTATTGTTTTCATGTTTACTTTAAAGGTAAATTGCTTTATGGAAATCCATCCTGAATTGTGCTTATAGCCATGAAGCCTGAACCCAATTGACAAAACTGGTTCTCAAACATTCCAACTGCTTGGGGTTACAATAACCACCAGGAGGCACTACATGATTGGTTTCAGCCTTATTAGGAATCATCAGACACAACATAGCCAGATGTTAGTCTATGGGGTTCAAACCCTCTACCAGGAATTGAACTCATAGACCATTGCATTTTGGAGATGATATGCCGTGCACTAGCTTTAGGTTCTCACTGGTCTTGTAGGAAAGGATATATAGAATCTATCAGAATGATAGATACAGTCCAACTTCTCTTAAGTCTGAGAAGTCATGTAAAACCTTAAATACAGAGCTTGACCTAATGTAATAATTGCTTGAGGTACATTGGATCAGAATGCTTGTGGCTCCTCTTTTGCAAGAAAGTGGAAATTGTGTAGAATTATAACCTCAAACTGGTTTTATGGATAGGAATTGTTTTGTGAGTAGGCTGAAAATTAGACAGAGATCTTAGAAGGGTAGGTGAGGGGAAAAAGACAGATTAGACATGGAGATAAGAGAGAGAGAATTCTGAAAACATCAGTTCTTCAGACCAAAAGGGGGACAAGGAAGAGGGAAGACTAAGAAGGGTGGCTGAACCCCAAACCTCCTTCATGCGAATCATAATGCAAATATCTAGTTCTGTATCCTAATTTATCTTGTGGTCAGCCTCACTCATCAATAACAGATTGACCAGGGGAACTTTGATAGGAAAGATGCAACTCCTCTATGCCATGCTTTCAGTCTGGCACGTAAAGTCCTGTGAATAGCTGAAGGACTGTTTGTGTGAGTTTACTTGATAAGGCTGCCCTTGAAGTGATCAGCAAGTGATCAGCCTCTGCTAAAGCCCCGTGTATGTTGGGCATTGTGACAGGATATTCCCCACCCTAGCTCTTAATTGGTTAACCACAGGCACAGCCTTCTTTGCTCCAATCCCAGGCAGTCACACAGCAGATGGAGGTCATATCTGCCCAGGGGTGTTTGTTGTGACTGCAAGGAACAAGGGGTTAAAATGCAATGACAGCAAGGCAGATGCTAATGCAGAAAAGGATATTTCAGTATTCTCATTAAAGTAAGTAATTCCTCTTTCTTCATGGATATTTGCACAGTTTTGCTTTTCCACTGTTAGTCATAAAAGGTCAGCTTGTGGAAAATTAAGTTAATAGGGTCAGTGCAATTTGATGAAAACTAGTTTAGGGTTGTAGCTTAAAATAGATGGAGGGTAATGCACCTGATTTTATGGGCTTTTCTTAACATCTGTTCTGAATAAAACTTCTGTTCCCTTGTTCTAGGATACATATAATCACCCCGTAATTTACATCACTGAGAATGGGTTCTCCCAGAGTGACCCTGCTCCGATTGATGATGCTCAGAGATGGGAGTATTTTAGGCTGACTTTACAGGAGATTTTAAAAGGTACAATTTAAGAATGATGAAAGATCAATTGTGCAAACTTAATATAATTTTCCTATGTGCCTATTTGCATTTAGCAATGGCGAGTGGTTCTTCAAGTTAATGTACATCAGATAGGAGCTTTGCAATTAGAAGGAAAACATTCAGCAAATAGGAAAGAGAACAAGTTTAGATCTCCTGTATTATACCGTTAGGGAAAAGGAGAACAAATTTTCAACACAGTTTTAAGGAAACAGCATCATTTCCATCTGAATTCATAATGTTCAAAAGTTTTATTAATTGAAAGAGGACCTGATGAAAGAAAATAGAGCTGAATAGTGTATTATTGATTTCACAAATATTGACTTCCTGCTTGAGAAACAGGGAGATAAGGCTCTGCCAGAAATTAAAGGGGTTTAGGAATTTGCCATAACTATGAAGGTGAAAGGGCAGCAGACAATTCAGGATTAGAGGCAGGGCAAAATTCAGAGATTTCTGCCTCATTTAGATAATCCTTAATTGAATCGGTTTGTTTTTAAAGCATCAGGCAATCCTGTTGTGAAAGTATCTTCTAGAATTTTTTTCCAAATCCCTTTGCTCATTAGAAGATAGCTTGTTCCTTAAATACTCACCCAGAATGGAATGAGAGATATTTTTGCAATCTGTACAGATACTTAATGCAGTGCAGGATCAAAATCTAACCTCTGGATGGAGAAGCTTATAGATTCTTTCAGTCAGGCCCTGTCCTACAGTTCCAACACATGTGTTAGATTAACTGTGTCTTTATAGGGTTCTTTTTCTTCTTTCCAACCCAACCAAATGTTGGAAAGAAGTAACACAAAGAAGCTTGAGACTGTTTCTCTGTGTCCTCCAGCAGGATCACTCCCACAGAACAGAACAGAACAGAACAGAATGGGACCAAATTGGATGTGACTGAAGAAGCCAGCAAAGATTGATTGAGTTTGAAAATGGGCTAGATTCAGCTTGAGGCTACAGAGAAAAAAATGAGAACGCTGCTGATTGCTTCAGTCCCATTCCCCTTCTGTCCTCCCTCCTGTTCACATGACCCAGATTGGATCGTATGCAGCCCAGCCATCTCCCCACTGATGCAATGTGAGGGGAGAGTAAAGACACACCCACCCACCCACCTACCTGTTGCTTCATGTACAGAAGATAATTCAGGGCCCTCCCAATGTTTCAGTAAAGGAGTTGGGAAGCATTCCATAAGCCATGCTCTGCATGCTTTCCCTACCATGTTTTTCATAAGTGAATAAAGCAGTTTTGCCATTCATATGTATGGGAGGAAGTATTCTGCTGAATTAAATAAAAAGGGAACACAATTTTTGGGGTAGCAGGTCTGTTATGTGGCTAAACTTCCTCTTCTCTTTTTTCCTTTAAGGGGGAGGCAAAACAGCTTTTCTACTCAATTCCTCCATTCATTGGAATGGTTGAATTATACAATTTTCACAGGTAGCCTCGCTCACTTTCTTAGAAGGGACAAGCGGAAAAAGCAGGAGAAAGCAAGCAAGAAACTAACCCTATATATAAGCTTCCCGTTTGAAAGCAGAAGAACTTGTTGGAATTCTTGTGCTGTCCCTTTAACCTTTTCCCTTAAAAAATCTTAGAATTCAGAAAGTCATGTTCCTCAAATGTTTGTTTGCAGTCCTGATTACTGTGAGTTTTGACAATAGTTTTCTCTATTTCTTCTCATGTTCACTCTCCCCTGGGCACTGTGTGTATTTGTTCGGAAGGAATGAGAGGATATTTTTAGCTGATAGTCCACAAGTAGTCCAGTTCAGGAACCAGATTCCACAAGAAGATTAGAACTCTACTTTATTGAGGAGGGCTAAGGTAGTGGAATCTTGAAAGTCTGTCTGCATTTTCCCTTCCCCCTCTCTTCGACCACAGGGATCCAAGGGAGCCATATTTTAAATTAAGGTCTTAACTATTTTTCTTAAAAACTGTATTCCAAATGATGAAACCTGCCTTGCTGTGCAATGCATCATATGTAAGGGAGCCATTCCTGCTTGAATTTAGTTAAGTTTCTATTATGAATATACAATAGTCAGTTTTGCCATCACCGCGTATTCTCTGATGTTGGTCTCCCATTCTTGGGTTGTCAGTAGGGTTGTACTTTTACAGTGTTGTACCAATCTTGCCTCTGTCAGCATGTGTCTTAGTAGATTGTGATACTTCTCCATGACTCCCTACACCACCACACAGCCATATCTCCAGTAGCTATTTTGCAAAAACCTTCTTAAAATGTAGATGTGGCCTCTGATCTCAAAAGTTTGCATCTCTTTGACCTAATTTGCATTGGGTTTTCATAGATGGGTGCAAACATTCACATTATTGCCATCATTCCTTCCTTTCCCTGCAAAAAATGGAGAATCCACAAGCGATTGTGAAGCTGCATGACCTTATGCCAGTCTATCAGTCATAATTTGTCAACTGTTGGGTTCTTGGCATTCTCTAAGCTTGATTGTTTTCCTGCAGAACCAAGTTCAGAGAACACCAAGAACCCAACAATCAACTCTGAACTACACATACTCTCTACTACTGGAATTTATACCCTGTTGTGCAGTAGGGAAGCTACTAGAATGGCAGGGTAAAAATTCATATTAACTCACCCCATGTACAAAGCACCATCATGTACTGAACTGGAATTTTCTGTGATAACATCACATGTTAATTCAGTTACCTGGTAGGGGAAAGTGGTTGTCTGAATTCTCTGAACAGATGCCATATTGACTGGGAAGTCATGATTTCCTGGGTTCCTGATCAGCAGCTAGTCTGTGTGATCCCTATCACTTCAAGGAAAGGCACAAACTTTTCTTACAGCAAATGTGATTCGAGTATTAGGGCCATCAGGAAATCTGGATTTTACATAAACCCAGAAAGATACTGCAGTCAGTTGGGAATACGTACAAGATGATCTCAGAAAATCTAAGTTGGGTCAGGTCTGGCTAATGCTTAGATGGAAGAACACCAGAAAATACCAGTCTAATGTAGGCAAGGAAGGAATCACATCTTTGTTATGTTCAGTGATCCAAATTAAAGTTAAATAAAGAAAGAAATGAAAGTGAAAGCATAAAACATATAAAATATTATAATCAGGGGTACAATGTTTGATGGTGTGTTTTAACTGCAGGAGCACAAAATTTAGCTACAGTACTGGTCATGCTAGCATTAGAACCAGAAAGTAGAAGCTTTATATAATAAGCATCTGTTTATCCTGGATACTGACATAAAAGAGATAACATAAGAAAATTCCTTATATACCTATTGAAATGGCAGAACTGCAGCACATGGGCAATGGTTTCAAAGCCTGCAAAAAAATGAAAATGTTAAATATTTGGCCAGCACCCAAGGTCACCTTAAAAGCCAGATTCTGCTGTTATGTGGTATCCTATTAACCTCCAGCTGGTACTCCGTATCATCTGTTCTTTGAAGGAGAAAGTGACTGGCCTTTTCATAGCCCAAACTAAGAAGGAATCCAGCTGATAACCATAAAATGCTAGCTTCAATTTTGTAGCATCACTCCAGCTTGGAGAATACTTCTGTGCCAGTACAAGAGGTCGTAGGCCAGTGGGGAATAACTGGATCTTTAGCCAGTAACTAATCATCCTCCTCCAGGCCTAAGTTCTATTTTAGGCATCCCCTTCCCAAATCTGTTAGTTACATATCTTGGGGCAACAAGAATACTCTCAAGAATTTGTTTGCATCACTTCCAATGTATTATTTGCAGCAAAGATTCCCACCTGTGTTCCATCTAGGATCTGGGCTAATGTTCTGGCTTTAAATAGTATAAGAGTGGTAGGAACTAACTCTCCACTCTTGGTGAAAAACAAGCACTGAAACTTCACCAAAGCACACATTTCTTCAGAATGCCCTGATTGTATTGTATATGATAACAGCTGCAAGAATTTTATACACTTCTTATTGAAAAATATCTCTGGTCCCCTCTGTGGAAAAATGTCTAATTAAATGGTGGGAATATGCTTTGATATCTAGAATAGCTAAATATCTAAAAATTAAATCTGATGTACAGTTTAATCTTACTTGGAAACCATTTCTGGACTATAATTATATACATGGAATTGTGCCACACCCCAAATTTGGGTTCTAGAGTTTATATCAAATCATATTTTGATTGGACATACAGTCTAAGCATTTAGTCTATTATTTTAATGTATTGTTTACTATTTATAGCTTTTCTTTTTCTTCTTCTTTACCCTAATTGGAATAATGAAATATTTTTACTGTTCAATAGAGACATCTCTTGACTAGAAATTGGATATGAAATGCTTTATAGTACTCTAAATTGTTAATGGTGTAAGTATATATTATTATAATATATTAGCATATGATATTTTCATTGTACTGGTTATTTGCAATTTGTTGGTTATCCATCCAATTTGTTGGTTATTCTACTACTTACATATTTTTTTCTTCCTTACATTTCTTTCTCTATATTCATTGAAAATGTCTATTTGGTATCAGTTTTATTTCTTTCCTTTTTTCTTGGAATTATAATAATAAAGAAAAAGAAATGCAGAAGATCATAATGCCACCCAAAAGGTGTAATCAGGATGTGCTTTTCAGAATCTTTTGATGTCAAAAACTACTGCTAGGTATTTGAAGGTGTGAACCTGCTCCATCTTATTGCCCTCTCTACTCTATTTGGTTCTTTTCTGAAAGGCCATGATTTTGGATTTTTGAAAATTGAGTGTGAGTCTGTCTTGCTTGCTATAGATTTTACTGTTTTTCTAAGCCCAGCTGGAGTTTGGCATACAGAGGCAGCAGCATCTGCATAGAAAAGAGTGGGTGTCTTATGGCCTGACACCTTTGGAGCATGGAAGTCATGGTTGATAAGAATTAATGCCATGCCAAGATCATCCTTGATGGACGCCTCTTTGTATGGCTACTCTGTTTAAGAGGAGTTATTTTGAAGATCACTTTTCTTATAGGAATTTGAATACAGGTTTTAGAGAAAAAATAAAAATAAAAAATGGAACCACTTA